CGAGATGAAAACAACTGCTACTCAAGGGTTTGACTAGAAAGAAAAAGAACTTCCATTACACTGTTTCATCAGCAATGCCTCTCTTGCACTGGATAACCGCGAGTGTGAAACACCTTAAGAAAACAAGGAACTTCATGTACTTGGCAATGCAGCAGGGGCAAGTTCTGCATTAGCAATTGTTAAACTGTATAACATTAAATTTACTCGGTGACCATATAGTGCCTTCATTCTTATTCCCTGCACCCACACAAATGTGTGTTAAACTAGAGCTCATGTTTGAAAATATGTTTATTTGAGGATGAGCTTTTTTGCTGAGTGTTCCAGGTAAACTAGCTCCATGCTTTACAGCACTTTACCAGCAGCCTTCCTACTGTCATAAGCCCACAAAGTTTTGAGCCATTCATGGAAAGTCATGATGCTTTCTGGAATTTATTTTAATGATATGGTATACATGATCTCTACATATAGGTAACGTCAAGCTATATTTAGCATTATCAATATAATGTCTGTATGTATTTTGCTTTTTGATATGAATGTAATTTTTAGGTTTCTTTTTTTGGCCAAGACTGTTTGGTAGGCAATGATTAACTTAAGCATTTCTCCCCTACTTATACTTGAGAAAAGTAATTGCTAAGAATTAACCTTGGACATGGGCATGTTTAGTGGCTGAAAAGAAAAGTTGCAGCAAGCAATGGCAGGGTGGTTAGAGGCAACAGCTAGGGCTGTGTGAAGCTTTGGTCCCTGATTCTATTTGGTGGCTGAATCTCCGAATTTGAATCAAATCAGAGGACCCTTTAATCTCTCCAAATTGAATCAGAACCCTCCAAATCAATTCGGAGAGATTTGGCGATTTGAACATAGACACAGATTTAAATGTTTTTTCTACATACTTCTAGGTAGCAGACAGCTCATGAATGCTGCGATGCTGGGGCACATGGAGCATCCCACAGGAGTGCAGGTACTTCTGGTCCACTTCCGGGTCTGCTGCCGAGCGTGCTGGAGAAGTACTTCTGGTCCACTACCAGGTTTGCCACCGAGCGTGTGGAGGGCCCCCCGCACTCCTGTGGGATGCTCCATGCATCCCAGCATTGCAGTGATCACGAGCTATGCCTGGTACCTTGAGGTATGTAGAAAAAACATTTAAAGGTGTGTCTATGTCTGAATCAGCATCAAATCTTCAGATTCGGCTGATTCAAATCAGGGACAGCAATCTGAATTAACTAATCGAATCACTGTCCCAGATTCGAGGCAAATCCGAATCCAAAGTGAATAGCACCTGCTTCACACACCCCTAGCAGCAGCTGCTGTCTAACCTATTGAGCACAGAAGTGAAAGCTGCATTCTTATAATTTAGGGCTAAAAGAAAATATCAGAACAATGATTTTATTTATTCTTATTCTGTCTATATCTCAACATAGTTACTGATTACTTAGGTTTGCTTTTGACTTTATTATAAATCTTTTTTATTATCTTTTATAACATATTTATTGTCAGTGATAACTGTGATTTCAGGGCATTCGGCCACATAAGTAGGCCTCTTCTATGGCAAGGGCAAACTATAAATTTCTAAGTGCATAAATGGAGGAGTGTGTTAGACTTCTAGATGTCAAAATCCCTTCTGCTAAGATCTGGCAAAATGTAGGTGTGGCAGGTCACTGGTCAGGAAGGTGACCTTTGGAGCACATCAGTCTGTTCTCAGTGGTCAAGCAGCAGGCAGCAAAAAGGGGCTTGGGGCTGAAGGGCAAGCCTGACGATTTAAGAATATGTCAGAAATATATCTCAAAAGGCACAGCTGACCAAATCTGGGACTAGGTGTGTCACACTATGGCACAGGG